CTTGGCTGGCCGGCCTCGAAGCAGCCCATGCCCATGCCCATGCCATCCGCCGCCAAGACGTACCTGACGCCAAGAGGAAAGACGATAGGAAAGACGATAGGAAGGGGGGGGGGGGAAAGAGGCATCATCTTGTCGCCTACTTCGTCCCAGCAACGAAGCCGCGCAAGGAAGAAGTGTCACGTTCGCGAAGCCGCCCCGTGTTCAAGGAAAAGCCGCGCAACCATATCGCATCCTGGCGTCACGCGCGCCGCGCCATATCGGGAGCTGGATATGTGTGCAGGTGACGAGCCTAGGTGACGGGCGCTACGGTGCTCGTTTGCCCGTGGGTTTTCCCCCCACGCCCTTGCACCTGCCTCCCCATGCCCTGTTCGTGTTCGTCCGAATACCCTATCGTGTCCGTGTCCCTGCCGTACGTGCCCGTGGGCCGTACGTCTCGTACAATTACGTCTCACCGGCCGAGTACTTCCGCCGAGGGGAACTCCCTTAGGAAGCAAACCAGCGGCCGCCTGCTGCCGATGGTTTGGTTTCGAAAGATTGCGAATACGTTGTACGCCACAGCGTCCTGCGAACAGCAAGATACCGTTGAGCAGCAAAATGGGTTCAGTGCTACTGAATCAGCATTAGCACACTGTGTGCCGCAACACACGGTATGGCATTATCACATTGAACTGCATGGTACCGCAATATATTCAATCTGTCATACAGCACTCGTATGAGCAGCAGCAGCAGCATAATGTCTTGTATCTAAACGCCCAGTATTGCATTGAGTTGCACCAATCCGGTTCAGCGTATATGTTGAGTTCAGATGCGGACGTGGGGGAATAAGATGAACCATTGGCGAGCGAAGTAGATACCAGAAGTAGAGGGCGCGGGCGTGGGCGTGGGAGCAGGGTGGATGGCGGTCCCAGCGCTCATAGTTTGCCACCCTCCCTCCCCCCTTCCCTCTTTCCGTTTCCCCCCCCCCCCATATGTCCCCTCACCGTCTCCATCTTCACCGCCGCGCACTCCTGTTCCTTGAACACCTGAAGCTGCAGTACAATGCCGTACTTTCCCAGCTCAGTTCTCAAATAGCCTTCGGAGCCCATCGGCTGTTTCTCCATGTACCGCACATCCAACCGTTCCAACAGAAGGATGTTGGTGAAACCGCCAAGCCGCTCATCTGCGGAGAAGAAAACACAACACGGCAATGCAACAGGATGTCGTACATCGCTTTCAGTATATGTATACCTTCTATTTAGGGTACAGCCAAGGCGAACGTACCCAGTCGCAGCTCCGACAGCGCCTCCATTACGTGATCCTCCTGGGGCAGGTCCGTACGGCGATTCAGATGCTCCATGGCGGCATTGAGAGTGGGGAATCCGGAGATTCGCACTTTGGGAGGATAAGGTGCCGGCGGCGGCGGCGGCAGCGGTAGCGGCGGTGGTAATGGCGGCGGCAGTGGCGCGTTGGCGTAAAAGCCATCCTCGGTTCCGTCATCGATACCTGACGGCGCGGCGGTGGTCATGGCGGCAGTGGCGGCGGCGACGGCGGCGCTGCTAGCGCTACTGCCACCACCACCGCCACCGCCGCCAGCCACGGCGTTGAATTCGTCTAGATGCATTTTAACTACGAAGCCTTTCTTCTTCTTCTTTCCACCGCCGGCGGCAGGGGGGTGGGGTGCAGCCGCCGCGGCCAGGATGTCCCCGCCGCCCTCTTCTGCCAGGTTTATGACGGTTGTTGTGGTGGTTGTGGTAGCGACAGCTGCCACATCGGCCTGTGCGGTCGGCAGTCGCGGCAGGGGACATAAAGCAAGCGAGTAAGTCGTGTGTTGGCCCAGGCCAATGCGTCTTGAGTAGGAATGGATGTGGTTTCGGAGTGGCCGGCGGCACAGATGTAAGAAGATCTGGGGCCCTGCGCGACTCAGCAGCTGACAGGAAAAGAACCAAGACCCGCACACAGAGACACAGACACACACACACACACACACACTGGTGAATGCCTACCAAAGGTCGCCACAAAACACACCTGTTGTTGTTGTTGTTGTTGTTGTTGTTGTTGTTGTTGTTGCCGCTGCAGCGGCGGCGCTGGTATAGCTCCGCTAGCTGAGACCTCTCCCCTTACAGCTGCAGCACCAGCCGCAGCACCGGCAGTAGCAGTCGCCAAGGCCGTAGGGCCAACCACAGCTGCAGCCGCAGTCCAGTCGTTGCCCTCCAGCCTATAGCCAGCAGCAGTAGCAGCAGCCGTAGTCCCCTCCTCCCCCTCCTGGCGGGCCCCAGAATACTCCAGATCCTCTGAGGGTAAAAAAAAGAAATGTGCGTGTATGCGTGTGTGTATGCGTGCGCGTGTATGTTTGTGTATGCGTGTGCGTGTATGCGTGTGTGTATGCGTGCGCGTGTATGTTTGTGTATGCGTGCGCGTGTATGTTTGTGTATGCGTGCGCGTGTATGTTTGTGTGTGTGTGGTTGGAAATTGATACCTACAAGGGGGAAGACACGCGGACGTCTGGATGCTCACCACACGGGCCCCCTTCCTCCTCGCGTCTCTTCGCGCGCCCTGCACCCCCACATTTCCACGAAGTGCAGTGCAGTGCGCAGCCTGCTGGCCCGCTGGCTCTCCCGCTGGCTTCACGACCCTGGAGCCCACTGTAACAACCACAACCCCACATCTCCCTCAGCTTCACCTCCGTAAAACTCAGCCTCTCATGCGCTTCCACAGGTGCCGTTCCGGTGGGCCTCCTCAAACCGCAAACGCAGGGGGAAAGCCCTGAGCCAGTGAATTAACCCCCTCCCCCCCACACACACGCACACAAGACACACACACACACCAAGCCAGGCAGACGTCTAGAGCCCCATACCCGCGTCCACACTCACCCAGTCACCTACCCTTCTGGACGGCCCTAGCTCGCACCACGATGCTTATGCCACGGGAGGAGGCCGCGGCCGAGGACCTGGCCGCCGCCGCCGCCGCCGCCGCTCCGGGGTCCGTCGGAGGTCCGCCGTCCTGGACGACCTGTTGACCATGTGTCGCCGTCGCCGTCGCCGTCACGGCCGCGGCGGCGGCGGCGGCGGCAGCCTCCTCGGCTGCGCGCCGTCGCTCCTCCCGCCTCGCGACCCGGCCGGAAGCAGCGGCGGCGGCGACGGCGGCGCCAGAGGCTGCCGTCGGGCCCCCGGCCGCTGCCGCCTTCCCGGCGACCCCGCCCGTCTTGCAGCTTTTCTTCGCGGCGTGTGGGCCCATGGCGTTGCCGTGGCGGGTCTACGGGACAAACACCACAAGTCCGTGAAGTCCGTGAAAGACAAGTTTCATAATGTAGTTTATCATTAAGATTCTTTACAAACAAAAATTAATGCATGTGGTGTGGAAAAGACGTGATGGAAAAAACAACATATTTGACACTGGGATGGGAAAGCACTTTTAGATGGAAAAATTATTCCCAAAAATAAAAAAATGAACGTTTTGCAAACTGGCCCCTACCCAAGTCCAGGAGGAAACAGAGGACTACCTCACATATATCTTTTCCTCCGCAGGTCTTTTAGGACTACCCTGTCCCGCCCCGACCCGGACACACCAGGTCCTCAGCCTCGCCGGGCGCGCGCTTGCGCCGCCGGACCGCCTCCGCCGCGGCCGCCAGCTGCCGTACAGCTGCATCCATGCAGTACAGCTCATGTACGGGCTTGGCGCCGGGTGCTTCTGCGGGGCCCTGGAAGATGCACACCCGGGCGATGTGACCCTCGCAGCAATCCGTCACACAACGGTGCAACTTGGGTTTGCCCTGCAAAGGAGAGAGAGTGATCTTGACAAGTGAATGAATTGGATTGGAAAGGAAGGACATTTCCTTTTTATCCACGTTTATGTATGTACCCGACAGGAATCATTACCCGAAGTCGTGTACTGTACGTAATGAGTCGAAAGATCTAAATCTCCAGATGTGTCACCTGATACCAGCTGACACAGCAGGCTGGATGGTGAGGTGGATTCATGACGTGAATCACTTTTGCTTGTCGCGAATATGGCCGGCATGTGGGAGGTGAGGGGAGAGGTAAGGGTGGCGGGAAAGAGGGGACACTACGTGCCATGAAATGAATTGTGGGTGTTTGCAGCCGCCCGCGCCCAGGGAGGTCAGCGGAGAGGTGGGCGGTGGAGTGGGATAGCACGGAGCGGTCCCCCTCCCCTTCCAGCCCTCCTTCCTCGTTACGGCACTAGTCCCCTCCAAATACCCCCCTTGCCCCCACCAAACCCCACACACATAAGACTGAACCCCTTCCCATCCCATTAACCCCCTTTTTTCACACACAGACTCAAACACAGACAGACAGACAGACGGACGGATGGACCGCACCTCCTTGGTGTACGCCTTGAAGTTGCGGTCGAACTCATCCCCCCGCAGCTGCGCCATGCCGTCTGCGAAGGGCCGCCAGCACTTGTCGTGGAGCAGCATGGAGCAGCCCCTGGTGCACTCCAGGAGGTAGCGCCGGTGACTTTCTGGGAGGAGGGGGCAGTAGGCGGAGGGGGCAGTAGGCGGAGGGGGCAGTAGGGGGAGGGGGAGGGAGGGGCCAGCCAGGTGCGAAGTTTGATGAGTTTGGGAGGGGGGGCTGATTGCCCCCTGGTTAAGCTACATGCTCTGTTGCTCCGTTTCCCATTCGTTCCTCAACCTTTCAAAGGAGGCAGCAAATTATACCAATGCGCATACCAAATCGCAGCGAATACCTGGCAATAGCAGGAAATCCCTCGAAAGGGCTGACAGCCTCGTGGGGCCACCAGGCTCCATGCATGAGCCATCCAACCACATGACCGCCCTAGGACCCCCTCGCCACCATACCGAGCTGTCCTTGGGGCTGTTGGCGCTGCTGTTGTTCCATTTGACCGGCAAGTCCGTAACCCCGTAGGCGCATACAAGATTACACTTTGTACGATTGCCTCTTGTACGATTGCACCTTGCACGATTGCACTTTGTATGATTGCACCTTGCACGATTGCCCCTTGTACGGTTGCACCTTGTACGGTTGCCCTTGTACGGTTGCCCTTGTATGATTGCCTCTTGTACGATGATTGCACCTTGTACGGTTTCACCTTGTACGATTGCCTCTTGTACGATTGCCTCTTGTACGATTGCACCTTGCACGATTGCACCTTGCACGATTGCACTTTGTATGATTGCACCTTGCACGATTGCCCCTTGTACGATTGCACCTTGTACGGTTGCCCTTGTACGATTGCCCTTGTACGATTGCCCCTTCTACGGTTGCACCTTGTACGGTTGCCCTTGTACGATTGCACCTTGTACGATTGCCCCTTTTACGATTGCACCTTGTACGATGGTTGCCCCTTGTACGATTGCACTTTGTATGATTGCACTCTTGTACGATTGCCCCTTTCACGATTGCCCTTTGTATGATTGCACCTTGCACGATTGCCCTTGTACGATTGCACCTTGTACGGTTGCCCCTTGTACGATTGCCCTTGTATGATTGCACCTTGTACTGATTGCCCCTTTTACGATTGCCCTTGTACGATGATTGCCCCTTGTACGATTGCACCTTGTACGATTGCACCTTGTACGGTTGCCCTTGTACGATTGCACCTTGCACGATTGCCCCTTGTACGATTGCCCGTTGTACGGTTGTACGATTGCCCCTTGTACGGTTGCACCTTGTACGATTGCACCTTGTACGGTTGCCCTTGTACGATTGCACCTTGCACGATTGCCCCTTGTACGATTGCCCGTTGTACGGTTGTACGATTGCCCCTTGTACGGTTGCCCCTTGTACGGTTGCCCCTTGTACGGTTGCCCCTTGTACGGTTGCCCCTTGTACGCCCCTACGTCTTGGCGCACCGCTCCTTTCACCAATCCCATCATTCCATGGAGGACGCTTCCGACATCCTTTCGAACTTCGGGTTTCTTCTTCACAGTTCCTCTCCCTTCAGTTCCTCTCCTTGCATCATGTGATGGCCCCCCGCACAACCCCTCACAACTCCCGCCGATCCGTACCTTTGACCTTGTACTGCTGCTCGTCACAGAGGTGGTTGGTGTCATTCCCAGGTCGCAGGCAGCAGTAGCCCAACACGTGCTCCACCACAGCTCTACCCGCGTGGGCCCCCGCAACCAGTCCCAGCTCACGACGAAGCCGCTCCCGTTCCTCGCGCTCCCTAAACAGTGGTCGGTTGGTGGTTGATTGTGGGTGGTGGTGGGTGGGAGAGTGGGTGGTAGTGGGTGGGAGAGTGGGAGAGGCGGGAATCCATGCTTGATATAGCAGTGGTGGTGTGGCAGGTGTGGGGAGGCGGTTGCAGGTAAGCATATGTGCACAAATGCCAGAACCAACGGGCTTGGCCCCTGTCCAACTTAGCAAAGCGGACTAAGTGCCACAACGAGCAAGAGGTGGTTTTTTTCTTGAAGGGTGCCAAATGCTGGGTGATGAAAAGGGTGGAGCGGGGACCGGAGTTTCCCAAAACCCAGCCAACCACTCCCCCCCTCACCCTGGTCCCCCACACCCCGTGCTGCCCACCTTGCCAGGTGTTGCTGCCAGGCGTCGTCGTTTGCAAAGTCGGATCGAGTCGGGGCGTTGGAAATGGAGGCGGCTGCGGAGCTGGTGGCGGCCGCCGCCGCCGCCGCCGCTGCTGCAGCCTCGCGTTCCTTCCTCGAGGACTTGCTGCGCTTGGCGGCACGTTCCTAGGCGACAGCAGGAGACATGAGACATGAGACATGAGACAGGATGACGGTGGGCAGGAAAAGGAAGGGGGGGACTGGCGGTTGATTGGATGAGAGGACGGCGGGGAGACGGGCGCCCAGCTCCCCCCACCTTTTCCGCAGCACCGAGATCCCTCACCTGCTGAGGCTCCGTCCTGGGCTCCGGAACCACACGCGTGGCGGAAGGTGGAGGAGGTTTCGGAGCGGTTTTCGCAGGGCCCACCGGGGACCCTGCCGCTGCTCGGGCGGGCTGCTGCGCCTTGGCACGTCCAGACGGAAAGTCGGCGTCGACGGAGGCGAAGTTTTGAGGAGGCCCGTGGCGAGGTGCGGTGGCGGCGTTGTGGGGCGGAGCGTTGAAAACGAAGTGACGCGACTCGACGTGACGGGCAAAACTGCCCGTACAGAGGTTCCGTAAATCGTAAGCATCATCGTCATCATCATGGTCCACAAGGGGCGGCATCGAATCATCGCCATTAGAGTCGCCACCGCTGGTGTCCTTTGGCGCTGCCGCCGCCGCCGCCGCCATCGCTTCGGCGGCGGCAGCGCCAGGAGACGTACTTTTGTAAAAGTGCTTAGCTGCTGCCGCTGCCGCTGCCGCTGTGGCGGCGGCGGGTCGTTTGGCGTCAGCCGGTGCCGCCGCCGCCGCCTTTCTGCGCGTTGAAGTCTCCGGATTCAAGCTCTCCCGGGTGCCTACCCCTATGTTGCTGTACGGCATGCTCGTCCTGACGGCAGGCAGGAGCGGAGATGCCGCCGCCGCCGGCGACTGGGCGGTGCGCGGCGCCGCAGCAGTCTTCGTTGTGTCCGTCTTTTTAGCGGTTGCGCTGTTAAGAAAACCTAGCAAAGGCCCGGAATCCCGGGGGGGGGGGTGGAAAGCGGGGTCGGGGCGCAGTTTTGCACCCAGCGTAATATGAATCCAGAGGTCGGTGCTTCGAATCCCGCAGGACACAAAACGGTTGGTTTTGCCGTAAGATGGGTCTCTGGACTCGACTCATACAAACCAAGACCAAAAACAACGATTGGGACGTCTTACCGTTCTCACCACACCAGAACAAGCTATGGTACGCCAGGGCAGGCAATTTTGGAACAGGAAAACATACAGACAAACCTCCAGACAAGCAGCCATGTGCTGTGAGCTAAGAAACCTCAACCCTCAAACCCAAACGCGCAAAATAAGCACCTTTGCGCAAGTTGGGTGAGAACTTGTCTGGCGCCGGTTTCTCAGATACCGGCTTTGTTACCGCTCCCCCCTGCGCCCGAGGATGCTGCGGTGACTGCAACTTCGCGTCGTCCACGTCTGCATCTTCCGATTCATCACTCGTAACCTCCTCGATCGTCACGCGCGAGCCTGCCGTTGCTGTTGAGGACATCGCCGCCGCCGCTGCCGCCGCCGCCGCGGTGCCCGTTGCCTTACTCCTTGCCGTTGGGCCCGGCTTCCCCTGCGGCTTGTACGGCACGGAACGGCCGTCGTACCTCATGAAATAGTCCTCATCCGAATCGTTATCACTTTTCTCGTCCTCGTCCTCGTCTTCATCACTGTCCCCGTCGCCATCGTCCACATTGCCACGGAAGAAGTCAAACCACGCCTTTGCATTCCTATCAAACATCTCATTGGCGAACCTCCCAAAGCCGGCGGATTCCTCCTCCTCCTCCTCCTCCTCTTCATCATCGTCTTCGTCGCTGTCCACGAGCGGTGGCAGGTCATCATCCATGCACGACGGCCCGGCGGCTCCTTCTCTGTGGGTAGATGTTGCGCCGCCGCCGCCGACGCTCGAGGCGCCGCCGCCGCCCACCGGTTTTGAAGGGCCTGACGTGCTGGATGGTGCCGTCGGACCAACGTTCCTCGCCCGACCGTGTTGGCCGAGGTTTCTAGAATTCATCGAGATCCTCGCGGTAGCTGTGTTGGTGTCTCGCTCCGGTGTTCTACTTCTGGGGCGGCTAGCTAGTACTTGCGCTCAGTCGCGGCTGTCTTGGCGCTCCCCCGCTCACTCCGCCTATCTCTTCCGGTATCATCTTTACTTCGTCTGTGGCTCGTCTTTCCCCCACCCACTGCAACTGGAGAAGTCAAAGTAAAAAAATGACCGCCTTTGGAGAACGGCCCTAATTTAGCGTTGCTATGTTGGGGTACTTGAGCGTGTGTTGGTACTCGGTGCTGCTGCTGCTGCCGCGTGGAGAGGATGGCAAGCGCCGGCAGCTCTAGGTCGCGGCTGTCCTGTTGTGCTGGCTACGGAGGGATGGTGCCTTGTAAACGCTGTGCTAGGCGGCTCGACCGTGAGCTCCAGAGGCTGCAGGGGCAAAGTATCCGACGCGGTGGTGGGTTGGTGGTAGTGGTTGGTGCCCTGAGAACAGAATGTCGGAAAGCGCGGGCAGGCGGTGCAATGAAGGTACATGCTGGTGTACACCGAGATTGCGTATCATGGCGTGGGCTGCTGTGCGTGGCACGAAAGTATCACGGTGTGGGTTGCTGTGGCACGGTGTGGCACGAAAATCCCACACGGATGGGTCGAGTATTTAGGAATGGCGACTCCGGCACAACACCGGCAGTATTTATACGAGCAACTTCTGAAGGGACGGTATCGTACTGGGTTGATTTTAAAGAGCAGCACAACGATGGGACCACGTTTAGAGCTGATCCGGCGCGCTCTCACGACAATCTATTCGAGACGAGCGCAGAGGACCGGGATATGATACCTGATACGATGCACCCGTTCGCCGCAAACTGCTGTAGGCTGTTTTGCCCCACCTAAAGCGGACCGGTATTCTATCAGATGTCGGTTTTACATCAATCCTAGGTGTTATAAACAGTAATAATACAGACCAAATAATTAACAAACGCAGACGTACTGGCTTAACTGCGATGCTTTGTAGCCGCTGGCTATCTACTAATATTGCAAGTCATAACATGCCTCTCACCAAGTTGCACAAAACAGGGCAGACCGAGATCCGGGGAGGTCTTACTACAGCGATGTACAGACTTGCCGTGCAGCCGGGATGCATCGGCTTCTCCAGTTCTTACCATACACGTCTTGACGTAACGGTATATACTAGTCCGCGCCTATATCAACAAAAGCTGAAAGAAGGATGTCTCAAATCCTGAGCAAGGAAATTGCCGGACGGCATGGAGACTCGGCGACCGCGCAGGCCTCATCCCTAACATTCTTAAACTTAGTTGAGGTAGAAGAACAGGCCCGCCACGTGCTCACTAAGATGGCTTACGATTATTACAGCACAGGCTCTGACACCTGCTCCACCGTGGTGGAGAACCGCACGTGCTTCGCGCGGTACAAGCTGTTGCCGCGTATGTTGCGAAATGTCAGTCGGGTGGACACCTCGCACGAAGTCTTTGGTGCGTATCGGCGGTTGCGCAGCAGTGGCTGTAGTATTCACGTTTCGAAACGCTGCGGCTTGCTGAACCGCGGGGAGTTATGGCAAATCTCTGAAGACGCGTGCACCTGCATACTAGTCACACACCTCATTCGTGAGCACGCAACATAACACGTGACATGGTTCCAGCCAGCCAACCAGCCAGTCAGCCCGTATATTTTATACAGATGCACCTGCATGCCTTCGCGCATCTCACACGCGCGCAAAGGGTTTTAATGCAACAGAGATGGATGACACCCAGCGGCCCGTCCATCCACCACCACACATCAACACAAAGGCCCACATGGCCCTAGGGTTCTTCCATCCGTGTTAAGCGGTTGGAGACAGACGGACTTGACTTTGTTTCCTGCTTGGCCTGTCTTTGCCTCCGTTTTGACCCCGGGTAATGTTCTGACCTATCCTTTATACGTACACATATACCTATGTACATATATTTTCCACATTTGTAAACGCACGTGATCATCTGCCCCTTTAACGACAAGTAACCGCCCTTGCTCCCTGCCCTGATATCTAGCTGAGAACTCTCAAAATACGACGGGCCTTCGTAAACGCGTGCACCTAAGTCTAAACGATGCACACACACACAAACACACATACACACACATACACGCGGACATACACACATACACGCGCACATGCATGCGCGCGTCCGTGCGCATACACACACACCCCATATAAAACACAGAGTTGTCTTGTGCAGTGAGCTACTTGCATCATGCACGTGGGGTGAGGCATGTGGTGGCCATGTATGGTGTGTGTGTGTGTGTGTGTGTGTGTGTGTGTGTGTGTGTGTGTGTGTGTGTGTGTGTGTGTGTTATACATTGTTGGGGGTGCGTGACCCCATACCTGTAAGACTACCCATACGAGCCGAAGGCCCAAGGGCAATACCAAACGCCTAAAAGCCACGGAGAACAGGAAACACCGCACTATCAGCCCAGGCTAGCGTCCAGAGGGGATAGCTGAGTTGCGGTGAGCCCACATACGTTCCAACATCCTCGCCACGTGGTGGTGTGAGCCTCTTTCCCTCTGCCTCTGCCCCCGCCCCCGCCTTTCACCTGCTCCCACAGGCATTCGTTCCAGCATGCCTGTATGGGTGGCGCCAATGGCTATGCACGGGCTGGCCGACCCGCAAGGCCGGGAGGTGGCCACCTGCCGCGCGGCCGCAGCCTCCGCCGTGCCCTTCACCTTCTCCACCGTCGCCACTGCCTCCTTTGAGGAAATTCAGGTCACAGGTCACAGCGCCGCAATCTTCCAGCTTTATGTAATCAGGTAATACTGCTTTAGCAACGTTTTGAATGATACAGTTGCCTTTGATGTTGCCCTAATGTTACCAATTGGTAATTTTGTATGATGCATGGAACACGGCACCTGGTGAGTGGCGGCATGCCGGGGGTTGCGACGGTTGCGACGGTTGGAAGTTAACAGCGCAACAACCTACGCACCAACCTCCTCCGCGATTCACACAAATGGCAAAAGCGAGGTCTCATCATGATGACCTCTCGGCTTGCAGCGGCTGCAGCGGCTACAGCGGCTACAGCTGCCACTACCCTCTTATTCCTCTCACGCTGCTGCTGCTGCTACTTCTGCTACGGCTGCTGCTGCTGCTGTCACTGGTATTGCAATGCCGCGTTTCTTCTCGTACGTAGGGATAGGATGTCAGTTTCGGACGTGGTTCGGAGCCAGTGGTGCGTCTAACTCGTGAAGGGCAGAACGTACGCTTCGACACTCCTCTCTGTCAACCATTTGCTAAAAACTAGAACACACAACCTGTACCGTACCCGCCGCACCCGCACCCGCACCCGCACAGGAACCGTGACGTGGTACGGCGGTGGGTGACGGAGGCGGAGGTCCGAGGCTTCAAAGCCCTCATGGTGACGGTGGACGCGCAGCGACTGGGAAATCGCGAGGCAGACGAAAGGAATAAGTAGGTCGACCCCGTCCTGGATTAGCTTGCGCCAGGGCGGCTTGGACTCACTTTTGGGTTGCCGTTCCCTCCACCTGCATCTCCCAACCGAACACTGCTCCCTGATGCCCCTGAAAACCCTAAGTCCCTAAAGTCTTCGTACAGCCGTACTTCACGGCACCCTTTATGCCTCAATGTTAAAATTCATATAGGATAGGTTTAGGGAAATAAATGCAGCGGTTTGCTTCCGCTCTTTATTGTCATATGGTTTCGTAAGATAGCCGCAAACATTTTGTTCTTGCCTCTGCGCTGGGCCTGCTCGCGCCGGCGCCGCTGCGTCCCCACACCTGCTGCCTCCGCCCTCACACCCCTCCATGTCCCTCTGCTCTCTTCTAGTTTTTCTCTCTTCATCTGTCATTCCGTCGCACGTGTCCTTTTCACATGTCTTTCCCGCCATGCAACCGCAAAAACGAATGTACTCCTGCTGCTGCTGTTGGCGTCGTGGTGTGGTGTCTCCAGGTTTACACTGCCCGCGGGCCTAGCGCTCCGGAATCTGGAATATCTGTCCACTGGCTCCACCGCTCAGGCCCGCGACTCGGCGGATGGTTCGGGCCTTATGCGGCTTTTCGCTGCAGAGATTGACGACTCGCTGACCTGGGATTTTATCCCCTGGCTTCGCTCCATCACCAAGCTGCCAATCATCGCCAAAGTACGTTTTCGCAGCAAAACAAAATCCTGGAATACATCGGAAACATTGGTTGGTTGGCCTAACGGTTGTTATCTAAAAAATAAGTTGGCTGGCAAACGGAAGGGTTGATATTTTCCATTTTTGCTTTGAGGAGTTTGTTTGCGTGCGGACTTGTCCGCTGACCAGCATTACAGCATTACTCAAACCTCCCTGCTGCGCAACCTTACGCATAGGCAGCCGGCATGCACCATTGAAACAACTTGTAAAGGTTCCCTCGATATGACGACGACGACGGAGGGGAAATCAATGTGCTCTTCATTTTACTGGGTGTGGATTTCAGCAGCCTGGGAGGAGGGCCCAAAAGGGGGGTGTTCGGCGGGGGAATGTTGCAGTAACATCTTCATGGGCTTCTGCATATAGCGGCCCCCCTTACCCATGGGTCGTCGCCATGGTGCGTCTGTCCGCAGGGCCTGCTGTCGCCAGATGATGCTGAGCTGGCAGTGCAGTACGGCGTGGATGGCATCGTGGTCTCCAACCACGGCGGTCGCCAACTGGACTTTGCGCCGAGTGGCCTTGAGATGCTGCCGGCGGTGGTGGCGGCTGTGCGTGGCCGGGTGCCTGTGCTGGTCGACGGGGGTATTCGGCGGGGCACTGACGTCATTAAGGCAAGTATGGAAGTGTGTGTGCGTGCGTGTGTGTGTGTGTGTGTGTCTTTGGGTGTGTGTGTGTGTATGGACAGCTGAGGGATGTGTGGTAACGGGATAGCCGTGCAGGGGTGTAGGGGTGTAGGGGTGAGGGGCTTCAGTCCAGTATTTCGGAAATGTTGTATTAGGCTGTATCCCGGGGTGACGTTTACCGGTTTTCCTGAAGTGATTAAGGCCGAGATTGACAGGCCAAAGTATGGAACTGGAGCTGGACTGCGCAGACAGCAAGGCCGCAGCACTCGTCGAATATGTGTGCGTGCGTGTCAAAGGGCTCGTAGTAGATCCCGTGTCGGGCCCATTAGGGAATTGGAGGGAAACGGTTGAGCTGCGCAATGCGAGACGAACGGGGCATGGACTTGGTCACGGTCCACCCGTTGTGGCTTGTTGGGGCTTGTACGGAACAACCACGCACCGATAATCTTGCACGCTGTTAAGTGTGAATTATTTCCAACGGCTTGTCCGCCTTAGCTGCATTTTAGTTCTCTTGAAAGACGCTGGCGCGATATCTTGAACGTCCTTTCCCTCTAATCGAATGCACAGCTGAGCGGTCCCCACATTGTGCCTCGCCGCTAACCATGGACCCACGGGTCGCTTCTCGCAGGCGTTGGCGCTGGGCGCGTCTGCGGTTCTGCTGGGCCGGCCAGTGTTGTATGGGCTAGCTGTTGGCAGGCAGGCGGGCGTAGAACGCGTGCTGCAACTGTTACGTAAAGAGATCGAGCTATCTATGGCGCTGACGGGTTGCGCGTGCTTGCGAGACATCGGACCGCAATTGCTGCTGCCCCCTTCACGCATGTAGCCATGTGGCTTGAGCTGCAGGTGCGGCAATGCTTCAAGTTCATAATTCATGACACTATGACCGTAAGTAAGCTACGTAGGCTGCGTACATCAGTTACATTAACTTTTATGAACGGTTCATGGCCCCTCCGGACGGACCCCTCCGCACTTGCGCGGACACCTTAACACTGTTGGCAGGATGATTCGCAGATTTGGTAGGATAGGTTGCTTGGTGGCGTATCGATAGACGTAGAGGTAGGACAGGTTGGTGTCGTGGACTTGGCGCGCCTTAGGGCGGCTCGGGATGCCTTCGGTGAGGAATATTCGTTATACATTAGGACATGTTTTCATTTTCAAGGTGGCGTCGTGATTACTCTGATGCTTTTTTACTGACGCGGGACGCCAAGTTTCTAAGGAAGAATTTGAGGTCTGGCTTATGGCATGATATTGAAACAATATACAATTCATCTAACAAGTTTCCTTGTATGGAGTGATGCATCGGAGAGCCACCGTATTCGACGCTTTGTCATATTACTCATATTACTCACGACAATGCAGAGCTTAGTTTTAATATCTGTCAGCCCTGCACCTTATACGGTCATGTGTGACGCGAGAGACTCCTTTAGGAGGATGTCACAGGTCATGAAGAGATTTGAGACCTTGTATCCACCATGTGCACGCCAGCCCTTAACAGGATACTCTTTGAACTCCGGCACAGAAGGACCACCAAGTGTTGTCAAGAGACATCCCGCCCACGAACACTACAAGGACGCAGACCCAACACCCAGCCGCGGCGGTAAATTGTTACCCCATGACCCAACTGATGCATCGAGTCTATCAAGAGCTGTGGTCCCACAAAAAAAAACCCGAAGGCAAAAGGTCCACTCAAGCTTGCACACGCCCCGCGTCTAAGCATTCCATAAGGTTAGATTCGTCAATGCGTTTAAACCGCATTCTGCAGCAGCAGAATTTCCTGCGTAAGCTGCTCTCGTCAGATGATTTGAAGGTCAACGTGAAAGTCATGGGCAAAGGTTAATTAGTCCGCAACAACCTTAAGACCGCGAGTGTGCACGTCAAACACACAAGTCCCCGCGGGTACATTCATTACAGCCCGAATGTACAATGGCTTCACAAGGGCTAGTCGACAGCTTGCCCGCTTAAACGCTGCCGCATTACGACATTTGGGGCTCCCACCATGGACGTGGTCATGACAGCGCAATCCCAGCACCGTACTTTATGTCATGCCCCTGCATCATGCCTCGTAAAGAGGCACCTCGCTATACCTGAACCTATATAAGGAGTGTCCAACTTAAGCACTACTTTAGAACAGAGCCCCTGGCGCCTGCGCCTTCTCCTTTTCGTACGTCTCGAAGTATTGGTAAATGATCGTAACCGCCAGAAGGATACCAGTTCCCGAGCCGATTGCTCCCATGAAGTCCGCCACGATCGTCAACGCGCCAATGCACATGCCACCGAAAGCAGCCGCAATAGGGATGTACCGATTGAGCTCCTTCTTTAGCGAGGCTGTCGTGTCACGGTGACCCTGAATGAACATCTGCTGCTCCTTAAGCTGCTTGGCAACATCGCTAGCGCTGCTGCCCGAAACCTCAATCCATGTCTTGGAGAATAGCGCACACGCGGTGAGCATGAACGTCACGTAGAACAACGCGTGCAGCGGGTTCGCTGCAACTTCCGCTAGGCTGCTCGGTGGTGAAATGTAGTACACCAAACCGCCGACTGGAATCATCTGGCCACTACCGTACTCGGTCTGCTGCCAACGTCCCAGCAGCTGCACCAGGAAGTTGCCACCGTACCTCTTGTACAGCAGCTGGGAAATGAAGTACAGGTTTGACACCAGGGCGGACTGCAGAATGATTGGCATGTTGGACGTGTAGAACAGCTTGATGGGATAGTTACCCTGCTGCCCCCGCGCGCGCTTATTGCGGACTGGCAGGTCCACGCGGAAGCCCTGGAAATAAATGACCACAAGGAAGACTGCAATAGTGGCGAGCAGGTTCGTCATGTTGGGCAGGTTAGTCCGGTAGAAAGCCTCCTTCAGTGCCCGAACCTGCAATGTGGCATAGCAAGTGTATAAAAAGATGGAATGAGGGGAACGCTTTAGCCATGCAGAGTCATGAGAGGGTGCTTGGCCACGCGACACGGAAAAGGACCGAACATATCATCAGTGCCGTAACTGCAAACGACCAGCCCAACAGGCAATTTGGTAGTTAATCCGGAAAACAACGACGGCTGTCGCAAAAGCTTGCGGGCACTACACTACAGGACTTTCACATAAGGCCATGTAACCCTTGGCGAACGGTCGTCTGCCCACCTTGTCTGTCCGGGTGATGATGAGGTGGAACATGGCGATAATGGCGCCCTCAAACTCAGCACCACGGGCACTCTGGATGGTGTAGGGGCTGAAGGCCTTCCAGATGATGGACTCGCAGATATTCGTGGCAATGAACAGGGAGATGCCGGACCCCAGGCCGTAACCCTTCTGGAGGAGCTCGTCAAGGCAAATGACGATAATGCCGGCAAAGAACAGCTGTGTGATAATAAGGATAGCATTTAGGGGTCCAAGCTCACGAACATCGCCGTACATGCCGGAGACGACATAGGCAACCGCTTCGCCGATGGTGATCAACACGCCCAATAGCTTCTGCGCCCCGTTGAGCAGCTCACGGTCCGCCTTAACGCTGTTGTCGACATCAATGATTTTAGAGCCCGCAAGTAATTGCATAACAAGGCCGGACGTCACAATTGGGCTGATGCCCAGCTCCATACAAGTTCCGCGGTTGGACGCCATGATGACTCGCACCCAGTAGAACGGGTCAGAGCTAGAGTTCGTCTTGATGCCATAGAGGGGTAGCTGGGAGCAGACGAGGAAGATGAACAGCGTTACCGCCGTGTAAAGGAACTTCTCCCTGAACGGGACGCGCCTGTCGGCTTGCTGCACATCTGGCAGCACCGAGAGGAAGGGCCGCACAAGGTTGAGCGGCCGGAATCCCGCCATTATCTCTTGCTTGTTATCCCAGATCAGATCTGGTACAGCTGTGTGTGGAGGACAACGCTCCGGAGAGCAAGTATCCAAGAGCGATCTGGCTCCCTTGCTACGGAGTTCACGCTGAAGGCTAGGAATGTGCTATCAACAGCTTTATGTGAGTATGTCTATTTCGAAATGGATAACAATCTGACCTGTAGTGCGAAACAAGTTCTCATAGCAACTTGGAATGTGCTTTGGTCTAGGTGGGCCCTACACGAAGGACACCGTGTAGACTGTAGCGAGCCGGTTCACCCTAATAATGATATGAATAATTTCAGGCCGTATCTAGCTTTTCTGAAGGAGCACTGGCGTCCTGACATATGCTGGATGGTGAGGAGCTCTTATGGCAGTAGCTACATGTCCGTTTTGCTCGCTCCCGGAACCACATCACGATCATTAAGCTATTTAAACTTCATACCAATTATGGGTCTCAGGTCTTGCGCAAGATGATAACTCTAGGAGCCCCGATTTCCTTGACCCACAAAGCTCCATTTTATAGGTTGGCCACGTTATCATACAGAAGTACATCCACAGCATTTAATGGCAGCTGGGCCTGTTGAAAGTTTGTTTCATGCAAACAGTCCGTGGAACACGCCGCGCCTACGGATGTTGCGATTGAGTTTTGCCCAGATTGTTCCTAACATGCTGAAGAGCTATATGTCAAAAAGACATTTTCAGCGCTCTGCATGCCCATGGGCAACGTCGGGCAGTAGCGCGCTGAATTCACCACCCTGAACCTGGCGTTTATCCGTTGGCGTCCATGTTGACATCATTGCTATAATTACGCTTATATAGTTCGTTCTATCAGCTTCCCAGCCCGAAGCGCGGCTGCCGCTGAAAGGCAAAGGCTAACGGGCTTCAATTACGGGTGCATCACCTGGACAAGTCAGCAAAGGCGGAGACCACAGCTGCTCGGGGTGAAGATGCGCGTGAAGATGCGCCTTTGCCACTGCCCCTCCCAAGCTCTCCCCTATAAAGCAAGACATGAAAGCAATAAGCCGACGGCCCCAAACCCGCCGGTATTCCCGTACACCCAACACGAGCGGCGGGGTCAAGGCACACACGGCACAAGAAGCCTGCATGAAAGAGATACTAGATCCATCGTCCAGGCATCGTGCGGGTATGCGGTTCGAAACAAGTACACGTTTCAAGCCACGTAACACTGGTACACATGGAAACAGGCCAACCTTTGACTAATAAAAAGAGTACGCATGTCCACAACTCCTTTAAGCTCAATGACTCGGAGCCACATGGGCCCCTCGAAACCCCCGCCAACCACCTTACACGGGAATCCTTCGGACAGCTGAAGCCGAAGCCATGTCGGTCATGTCCAGTACCAATCACTGGCCGTGCACCTCTGCTGTGATGCAATTGCAGACGCACCAGAACGCCAGACAGAAGCTCCCCGACCACGCGCGCGTCTCGCCAGGATTAGATGCATGAGAATCGTATTAATATAATAGTGCAGTGAGAAATGCCGTGCACCTTTGATATTTATTATTTCATCTTAAATTCTTTGCCATCCCCGGCGCCGCCTTACTTCCCTTCACTTCCCATACCATAAAATCTCCAATACATGTACATCATTATTTTGCCAGACCTGCCAATCTGAATCTTTCCGAACCAGAAACTGGAAAACTCTTACCAGCATCACCGGAGCGAACCGCACGCTAATTTTAGTTTACTGCACCGCTCATTTCCCAACATTGGTCTGTGTGAGCCTTGCCGATGCAAATACACAGACCGACCCAGCACAAGCGAGGTCATCAACAGTCCACCCAATCCACCATCTGCCACCGCAACCCAACCCCTAGACGCCACCGCCTCAGCCGCAGCGGCTGCAGCAGGCGGCCCTCCAGCTCGTGTGCTACCGGTTTCACCGCTGGTCGTTTTCTGTCCCTGCTTCCCGTGCCGTATCTGTGACGGCGCAGGATCCCATGGGCCCTGTGCCGTCGGGTGTGATCTGCTGCTGCAGCTCGCACTCGGCTGCTGGCGGACCCTGCCCCTTGTCTTCCATGTCTTCCAGATCTGCCTCATGCCGATGAGTACCACCGAGTGCTTCGACGTGTGCGCAGCGCCATGTCGGGGAGGGCGGCACCGTCTGCCGTGATCTGCCGCAGGTCCGGATGCAGGGGCAGCGGCAAAAGGAGCTAGCTGGTGAGGCACCGCCATGCGCAGGAGGGGGCCCTGCTCCGGCGGCATCTCCTCCTCCTCCTCGATGTCCGCGGCAGATATATCTGATTGCCGTAATTTATCGCGGTCGTAATATTGCCGAAATATATCTGATTGCAGTAAAATATCGCGGCAGGTATATCCGAGATTGCCGTAATATCTGATTCGATTTCGCCCCGCATGGCCATTGGCCAATCCTGACCGTCGTGGAGGGTGGCGCGTGCTTCTGGTCCCATTGTTGCAGCTCCGTTGCCACTGTACGATCTTCTGTTCCTGGCGCTTCTGCCGATGCCTCAGCTGCTGGCGGCGGCCAAAAACGTTCTGGTTCAGCTGCTGGTTCTGCTCCTGTTGGCGATGCAGCGTTACTATCTGCTTCCGCCGCCGCCACCGGCAAAGGACGTATTAACCTTAAACGCAGGTGGCTAGGAGCTAGGAAGGAAGCGGTTCTAGGGACCATAGAGGAAGGTCGCTAGGAGATGGACAGCGGTGGCTGCAGCCGCAGGAGAGCACACGCTCCTATAGCTGCAGAACGCAGAAAAAACCAATCAAGTTGCTAAGTTGCCGACACACAAAGCGCCAACTGCAGGGATCCAAAGTGTGTAAAAACAAAACGATTCGAGCTGGAAACGGGAAAATGGAGTGAAAGTTCACGAAAAAGAAATGCTCCCGGTGGGGTTCGATATAGGTTGCTTCAAGGTATTATTACCGTCACTGCGCCACAGGAACCGGAAACACAAGAAGGGGCTTGTTGCTAGATGCCCCGCCACGCGGCCAGGTTTTGCATGAAAGCCTCATGCGGCAACTGAACCCAGGCGTGAGAACAGGTTCCCAAACGTGGTCCGTACGTGACCGTCTCAGCGGGGCGTTCACGGGATGGGGAAACGGAAAGGCATGCCACGTCCCAACCGACTGCTGCATCAACGACATGTGTCTCACTGTACCTCTTCTTGAGCTCTCTTAATGCGTACTGGATGACGCACTGAATGACGCTTTGTAGACTGTGGTTACTGGCAATCGCGCTTTATGAAAAAAATCGTTCATGTACATAAGAACGCGGAACTAGGGGGGAAAAGAGTAGATGTCGATTTAGGACACTGAGGGGGGAACTTCCGCGAGCATCGGGAATGGGGCCCGGGATGCTGACCTGGGATGACCCTGGGATCCACTCGAGTCAAACACGCCGGAACGCGCCCGTCTGGCCTTTGATGCCTCTCCATTTTTTCTCCCACCCGTGATGTGGTCCAGGATATCGGAAAGCTTTATGTAATTCATCCTCGTCGGTCGTCCCAGCCTACCGGTACATTACCTGCATAGCTTTTTGGCACCGGGATAGATAAGCTCCGTGCCGTCTTGCGCAAATTCTCAAAAGCCAAAGGCTTTCCTTCAGCATGTCACCATCTACGCGGGCGACATGATCACAGTACCATCGCTGAAACCGCAAGGAGTACACCATCCACGTTGGGCCATAGTGCAGGCCGCCTAGGCCTTCGCAAATCGCTCCTCTTTTCTGCAACATATAGCAGTAGAGCAGGAATGGCACGGGCATGCCGCAGCCATTCTAAAGCCAATCCTTGCAGCGGCTACCGATGCCTGTCAAGGCTACCGTATACAATTCCCCATATGTTATCGAGTAATCATCGTGTAGCTATGTAAATACTAGGTAAAACGAAATTGTGGCGCTCGCGCTTCATAATGGGCACTCTGCAGCTGTGCCGTATGCGGACGCACACAAAACGCAGCCAATAACATCAGTCACGACCGGCATATAGGTGACGGCCCTCCCATTCATTATTTGATTTGTGCGCGAAATACGTGATATGAAGCTGCATGAGAACATACCGGTCATGTATCGTAGCTTTATACGGAAACCTGCAGTTTACAATCCTGCCCGACGCACGGTGGGGACACTGCCTCTTACTTTAAATTCAAAGCAACAGCAACAACAAGGCCCAATCCCCGGGCGCGAATTCGCGTCAGCTGCGGGCTCCGCATTCCCCGCTGCAACTCTTAGCTCTGTCGCGGAGTTAGTTAGCGGCAGCGGCCGACCCGCGGAACTCCAAGACGCGGGCGTCCAATCTGCTTACATCCACCTTCCCTTCTGCAAGCGCAAATGCTTCTACTGCGATTTTCCAGTTGAGGCAGTGGGCCGCGATGTCAGCGCTCCAAGTGCGTGGGGTTGGGTACGGCAACGGGCGCCCCACCAGGCGGCGGCAACCACAACGGTCTCTTGAGTAAACAGATTGCATTCGACGGGTTACATTTTTTGAAACTTGCATCCACCTAACCTGGGCTGTAACTGAGAATCAATTGATCATTAATACGATTTGGCGACGTCCCTATCAGGCTGCTGTACATGCCGTACATGCCGTGCCGCTGTCGAACCGTGCGCCGTCCGCGATGGCACTGGTGATGTTTCTGTTCCTGCCGCTTCCGCCGCTGCCTGCCGTCATCGGATTGGACGCCATTCGCCATTCTTCCTCGATACACAAAGCCCCTTTCCGCACCGCAGTGTGGGTGGATCCGGCCGGACCCCCCCCCCCTTCTTGGTACCTGTGCCTCCCCGCCTCGCGGCGCGAAACACACCCTCTCCGTGTTGCACCCCGTGCCCCTCCGTCGTCCTCTCTTTCGAGTCCTCCTCGGTCTCCTATCCGCATATGCCTCGCTGAGGGGGGGACGTATCGTCCCTGTCCCGCGCTCCTCCCCCTCTACGTCCCCGGGGTTCGGACTTCCCGATTGGCCTTCCGTCCTCCCTCCCTCCCTCCCGCGCGGTTCGTGACGCAGAAGTGGAGGCCCGAATGCGGTCGTACATTGACACGGTGCTGCGGGAGATTGGGTCAACCAGGAGAATAGGGAGCGGACCACTAACGACTGTGTTTTTTGGCGGGGGGGTAAGTGAAGGGAGTAGGAGAGGTTGTTGGGGCAGGGAAGACGGGTTTCTTGCCGTGCCGTGTCGCCATGTACCGTGTGCTGGTGACGGTAGTGGGTTTGTTGGTGGGGGTAGTAATAGTGGTGTTGGTGTTGGTGGTGGGGAGGGCCAGGTGGTGGCGAGGGGCAGGTGGTTGATGAGGTCAGAGCCCTCACAGGTCCCAGCAGCAAATGTGCGGGGCAGCTCCGGAACCCGCTCCGGCAGCTGCGCGCTGATGGAGACACGCAAGGAGATCAGGAGGAGGAAGGAGAGGAAGGAGGGCCGGGAAGAGGAAGGAAGAGGGAGGGGAATAGCGAAATGCTTTGACAAGCTGGGCCGCGGGAGGGAAATGGCGGAAAAAAAGGGGAGGGGACGGGGAGGGGGACGGGGGAAGATGACAAAGCGTCCGAGCAGGTTTACCGAACAAAGGAAGTTGTAGTCAGTCAGAGCACAGTGGTATAGGAATTGCTGTCGATTGCTGATGAGGAGAAAAGCTATACAATATTACAATATTCCGCACACGGTTCGGGACCTCCCCCTGGCTCCCTCGCTTTCACAGCCCCCCTCCCCCCACCCACACCTTTCGGGCCGCCCCTCCATCCCTCTCCCCCCACCCACCTACAACACCCCGGGAGAGCAGGTGGTGCTTGTCGGGAGGTCCTTAAAGAAGTTTTTGGTTTTTTTGGCCTTCATATCTTGTCATATAACTCCTATACCCTCCCGCCCGCCCGCCCTGCCGTCCTCCCCCCAGACGCCCTCCCTGGTGCCTCCCCCGCTGCTGGCGTTACTCATGGAGTCGCTAGATGCTCGGTTCGGTGTGGCGGCGAATGCGGAGGTGTCCTTGGAGGCCGACCCGGGCACCTTCGACGTGGAGCGGTTGCGGCAGTACAGGCAGTTGGGAGTTACCCGACTCAGCGTGGGGGTGCAGGCCTTTCAACAGGTGTGTATGTATGTATGTATGTATGTATGTATGTATGTATGTATGTATGTATGTATGTATGTATGTATGTATGTATGTATGTATGTATGTATGTATGTATGTATGTATGTATGTATGTATGTGTGTATGTGTGTGGTAAGGGGGGCCCGAAAGGCGACTGTGAAGGGACACGTGATAAGGCCCCTGGCTGGCAGGGCCTTAACTCCCGGCCGCGCCGCACCTCGGCCCCCAAATCCAAGCCTCGCGGCTCGTGCCGGTCCCGGTCGCGCTGTTCAGTTGCGGGATCCCCCCCCCCATCGAATCAATCGTGTGTGGTTCGTCTTTCCCCCATCGAACTTTGGTAATTGATGTTTTGCTGAACTGCATCCATATCTTCCCTCCCGTTACCTTCCCCACCCCTCCCTCTCCTTCGCTTTGGAATGTGTTCGTGTTTTCCCTGTTTTTCCCCCCAAACCCCAATCCGAAACCCCAAACCCCCCGGGGTTGTTTTGGCTTTGCGGCGGGAGGGGGCTTATGAGGAGGGCAGGAGCTGTTGGAGGCGTGCGGCCGCGGCCACGACCTAGCTGACGTGGTGGCGGCCGTGGATGCCGTACAGGCTGCCGGGATGCCCTCCTGGAGTCTTGACCTCATCAGCGGTCTTCCGGGCCTTACAGCGGAGGCATGGAGGCACTCATTACAGCGGGCGGTGGCGGCGGCGCCCGATCACGTGTCAGTGTACGACTTGCAGGTGGGCAGTTGAGGGGTTGTCAGTTGGGAATTACAGGTGACGGCTCTGATGGGTTTCGGAGACCCGGCGCATGACGAAACCCGCAGAGGGAGCCCTCAGGGTAATGAAGCAATGCCCACCATGTTTGGCCGGGGTAAGGGTTCCGGAGCGTTGGGGGCCTGTCCATGTAGGGGTCAAGTAGAGGCTAGGGCCCCGTGCGCGTGTGGGTGTGGGTGTGTTTTTCCCCCCCTCTTCCCCCGTCTCTCCTCCTTCCTCTCTCAAAGGATCTGCCCGACATGTTTGTTGTTGTGGTACCGTTGGATTCCGTTCGTCGATGTCTACGACACTCGGGCAATACGGCGCGGTTATGACGTAAATCTTGATTGTTGCAGGTGGAGGAGGGTACACCTTTTTCACGCTGGCAGCGGGCAGGCCGGCTACGGCTTCCACCGGACGATGCAGCTGTCGAGATGTACGGCGAGGCATCGGAGCTGCTGCGGGCGGCTGGGTACGAACATTACGAGGTTAGTTTGTTGGTTGCTGTGTTGCGTGTGTTGCGGCAAAAGGGAAAGAGGAAGTGAAGTTTTAGGATTCTCGTCCTGCTCGCCGAGTATCCGGAAACTTCACCTCCTCTTCCCTGTTGCATCTCTTCCCCCATTCTTCCCCGGGGGGTTGCCCCCCTCTTTTCCTTCATCTCCTGCCCCTCCGTCGGACTCCGCCGTCCCGCCGACCCACCAACCCGCTAACCCACCGACCCGCTCACTGACCCACCGGTACCTGCAGGTCAGCAACTACGCCCGACGCGGCCACCGGTGTTCGCACAACCAGGTCTACTGGCGCGGGCTGCCGTACTACGCATTTGGCCTAGGAGCCGCGTCGTACTTGGCAGGGCGGCGGTTCAGCCGGCCTTCCCGCATGCGCGAGTACGTGGCCTGGGTGGAGTCGCTGGCGGCTGGTGGCGGAGGAGAGGGCTCGCTGCCGGGCGGCCATTTGCCGGCGGAATCGCAGGTAGGCCGACCCACGGGTCGGTTTAATCAGAACGACCAGCGGACAAATGGGTCAGGGTCTAACCACTTTTTTCCTTTTCTTTCCGATCCTCGCTCCTCCGCCCGCTCCCGCCTAGTCCGCGTCGGCGCTTCTTCCATCTCCTCATCAGCACAGCTCCATGCGGCCTCCTGTGCTGCTGCTTGCTCGCATCTTACTTTTTCCATCCTCCCTGTAATACACCACACGCTGAGCCACCTCTGGGCTTTGCTCCCCCTGCAAAGAGCTGCAATTCTTACATGTAACAGTCACTTCGAATATAAAACTCCCCCTCATGGTATCTGCTTCAATCGTCCGTGGCTCCTTAAACCCCCTTCCTGCACACGCACACACACACACACATACACACACCCCTTCCTGCACAGGAGGAGCTCTTACTGGACACCCTCATGCTGCGGTTAAGAACCGCCGACGGCCTGGACCTGGTGGAGCTCCGAAACCGCTTCGGGACACAGGTCATGGGCACGGTGCTTCGGGCCCTAGCGCCCCACGAGCGGCGAGGCACCGTGCGGGCACTAGACGGCAAGGACCGTGCATGCTCCCTTTCGGCAGCGGCGCTGGAGGCGGCGGCAGTGACATCGGCGGCTCCGGCCCCGGCGGTGGACCTTTCTGGAGCTGTCGGGTTTGGCGGCTGCGGTGTTCCGCGGGTTCGGCTGTCGGATCCAGCGGGATTTCTTCTTTCAAACGACATCATTTCGGATGTGTTTGCGGCGTTTGATGGTGGCGGACCGCCGGCGGCGGCGGCGGCTGTGGATGAGGGCGGCAGCAAAGCTGGTGGCTAAGATGCGGGAAACGATATAGGGCACGGAGGCTTGTACGATGATTATATGGCTCTCATCTCGTACGTGTGGTATACACGGCTTAGCTTATGATCTGGGTTGTTGGGCATGGTGGGGCGGCCCCCGGGTTTCGGCAGGGCTGCTCAGCCTCCCCATCCTGGGCCATCAGCTTGCCGGCGAACCTTCAGAGGCTGAATGTCCTGAATGTCCTCCCGAACGGCTCCCGATGTCCCCAAAAATAAACCCAAGTTCGCCAAGTTATATCCGAATGCCGAATGATGAACAGTTGTCAACGCGCCTCAAGGAGAATGAATGGGCCTCCCAGGGAGCCACTGTGTGCCCCCTAAAACCCTAAAACCCACTTCCAAAAAGAACTGGACGGCTCGAGGACGACGCATCAATGAAAGAGCTATCAACTTTGGTGTTAGCGAGTGGTAAAGGCAAGTCGACAGCACCCTGACCATGGAGGCTGGTTTTCATGATCGTCCAGGTGGAGGTCTTGGTGGCGTTTCAGACACGACCCAGATGTTGTTAGGGAGGGGGCAATTACGGCAGCAGGCAGAAGCTCCTGGATGTGGAGGCGGCTCTACCACCACACTCTCGCGGGGCACCGTAAGGAATGGATCACAGGCACATGCATGCAGCTGTGATGAGCACGCAAACGGCCTCCGACAAATACGGGATTCCAATAAGCCTGTAAAGCAGGAAAGCACTGGCTGGAAAACACAGGCTCGCAGCAAAATGGTTGCGCCTTTCTCTCCATTCTCTTCCCTTCTTTCAATTCAGAAAGCCACACGGTGGAGTAGAGCGCCCGGACCGACCGCGTGCGGCCTAATAGGTGGTACATAAGACATCCCTGGATCCATCGAGGCAAAAACTGGCAAAAGCGAGAACAAACATCCCCTAGCCTGCCTAGCCTACCTAAATCCTGTATAATCCCGCAAATCCTGAAAACTTCTTAAAGCATGATAACCCATCAATTCTTCATTATCCATCATTAACTGTCGCAGCGCTGCAAGAGCCATAACCGGCAACGAACCTTCGCCGCTCCTGGGCAACGGAAAGGGGGAAATGGCAGTAGTCCATTCACCCAATCCCCTTCCCCCTTTTCTTAACCTTCCCGCGCAATATCCGCAACTCCCCGGACATGCCCCTGTATTGAACTGTACGACATAGCATGGCCGTACCCATTGCCCTGGAATCCATCCAGAATGTTCAACCTGACGCTCTGCCGCATCATAATGTCGACTGACGAGGCATAGAGTACAGGTTATGAAGGCCTAGCTAGTTCATCACTCTAAGGCAAGGGCAGAGAGAGCAAACTCCGACTTGGTGCAACTTGGTAGAGTTGCTATTACACGATGTGAAAGCAGCAGCAGTATCAGCAGTATCAGTAGCAGCAGTAGCAGCAGTAACGGCAGCAGCAGTATCAGCAGTATCAGTAGCAGCAGTATCAGCAGTAACGGCAGCAGCAGTATCAGCAGCAGTAACAGCAGCAGCCACCGTCGCCATGGCACGTAGTCGCGTCATGTCTTCCCGCTGTCCGGCAGGGCAAACCCAACGCGACGTGCCGTCGCCTCCACCATCCGCTTCGTACGCTCGTCCACGTCCAGGCCGATGTTGTACGACTGGAGCAGGGTCTTGTGGCGGGCAATGTTGTTCGCCAACTCCGCCCACTCACGCGCGAGCGCCAGCGCCTGGGCTGGCGTGGGTGGGTGTCCTGCTGGCGCGATCGGGCGGGAGGTCCATGCGGGAGATGGAGAGTCCACTGAACGTGCGGATCGGCGTTGCTGCGGCTGGGATGGGGACGTCTCTGAAGCGCTGCTTTGTTGTACGGACTCCGCCGGCTGCGGCATTCCCGCAGCAGCAGATGGTGACGACGAGGGTGTTGCATTTGCGGCGTCAGCAAGGGATTGATGTGGATTAGCAGCACGGAAACGTGCGATCACTTCCTGACGCCATTGCCGGTTGCCGTTGATACAGGTGAGATTGCGATCGACAGCTCGCAAGACTGCGCGTAGCGCAGACCGCACTTCTGCAGGGCTCACGTTCATGTGCGACAGTTACTAAGCATAAGGCGGAACTAGGCTATGCACTAGTAATCAGGCACCGACAACAACGAGTCACCGGAGCTATGTGCTCAGCAAGAGAGACACTTCACTTGGCAATTCTACAGGCAATGATAATCGTAATCATTTCAAGCCGTGCCCATTACAGTATCATGTGTTCCGCATGCTTCAAGCACAGGGCTGCCGGCTACGGTATGTCCTTGACACAGGGCGAGTAGAACGGCACATGTGACACAATGCATACGTTAAGATGAATTAATGCTATTGTTGCATCCGATCTCCGACAGATAGTATGCAAGTTTGCATCAAAACCCGCAATGTGCGTCTGTACCGCGAGCGAGGAAGCTCTTAGTGAATAGCATGTACTCGTGCTACTTCTTAAACTGCATGGAACATTTACTGAACCTAAGATACCTCGAAGCCTGGTTGCCGACTGCAACCTGTCGCTGTCGGGGAGCTTGTTGCCATCGACTGTCACATCCAACCGTGGAATAAATCATTAAACATACAGTTGTGAACAATAATGCTAGTCAGAAGCCTGCAGCAACAGAGGCATGCATTTCTAGGCCCTTTGATGTCGGCATTACAAGACACTGTCACGAGCCCTTGTTGTATTGGTAGAGATTACCCCTGCCAAGGCATCGGCAATAAGCAGGACGGCCTGCGGATAGATGCATCGATGCCCAGCTGTTCTGGACGGCAGCATGCCTGGCGCTACTGCAGCACAGGTGCTTCGCCCGAACAGACGGGGAACAGCTTGGAGCAGGCTTTTGAACGAAACCCCCACGCTGCGGCACAAGCTCTGGCAGCAAAGCTGAGTCCCGCACAGCGGGCCGTGCTTGCCGCTGCACTTGCGCAGCACACGGAGATGCAGCAACTAGACAACGCTTATTGGGAGGAGCTGTTCCAGGCACATGACGTCAAAGGCGATTCGCCTGGCGCATTGTCAAGGTAGAATAAACACCTGCAACGCAGCTTGCTCCGTAACTATTCCTTCTTACCCGTTCCTACCCCTGTGCCTAGCCCATCCACTGCCGCCTCCTTTCCTACCAGCCCCACGTGATGCCTAACTCCGACCAACCCTGTCTGAAACTCTGTCTTGTGGCCGCGGCTTATGGCCCGCGTTCTGCTCATGGCCTTGTTTTGCGGCTTCTTGTTTGTTTTGGTTCTCCTCGTGTCCGTGCGCCGGAGACAATGTTTCGCTGCCTGGGGACCCCTCTTCATCACTCATGATGTTAATTACACACCTCTTTGTGTGCTACAAAACAAGCCGGCGTGTTGCACCCTCTTCTCCCCTCGTGGTTCTCCCCTCCCCCCGCCTTCACCACTCATGTTACACACCTCTTTTGTGTGCCCAAGCCGGGGTGTTGCACCCTCTTGGTCGCCCCCGCCTTCCTCTCCGATACCCCCTCGATACGGTACCACCACCCTCTTGGCCCCCAGGGACGAGTTTCAAGCGGCCATGCTTGCGCACACGAGCCTCGTGGAAAATCGCAACAAGACTCCCCCGAGCTCTTCGGCACTGAAAATGGTGTTCCTCGCCTCGGCCATCCCCTTCATCGGATTTGGCTTCCTCGACAACGCAATCATGGTGCGTTTGGGCCTTCGTTGTGTGTGTGTGTGTGCTTGGGGGGGGGTTGACGGTTTGAGGGTTTCCACTTATCTTTCTTCTTCTGCTGCTGCTGCTGCCGTTGCTGCCGTTGTACTCCTACCCTGACGTGGCCTGTACTCCTGCGCTCCGCCGTGGCTGTCGCAGTTGGTGGCGGGTGAAGAAATCGACAATCTGTTGGGGCTCCGATTCGGGTTGTCCACGCTGGCTTCAGCTGGCCTTGGGAACGCGGTGGCGGTGAGGAGGGCCGGTGGAAGGGTTTCGGTGGGGGCCGGACGGTCTCGGGCTGGGCACGAGGCTTTTGCACTGCTGCACACGGCTGCAGGAGTGCGCGGCCAGGTGTTGTTTGCTTCGTTGATTTGGGGGGGGACATACGAACCACGAACGAGTGAAGCTGCTGCCAGGGCAAGAGTTGGTTTGGGGGGCCCCCCGAGAGGGCAACCGCCGTGATCGGTGTGAGGATCATGTGGGGGCAGGATGCAGCTGCACTTGTGACCAACGGTCGTGAACTTACTAATACTAAGAGGGCACGGCAGCAGTCGCCGCAAGGGAGCTGCAGAAGCACAAGCTCCGTTCCTCCGTTCCTTTTTGTGCCTGGGCCGGGGTTGTCTGTGCACCGTGGGTGGTGGTGGCGTGATGGTGGGCTAAGGGCTGTTAAGGTAGGAACGGGCGGGCGAAAGAAGGATAAGAGATTATGTTGGCCTTCATGATGGCTACGATAGGTAGATTTAGCAGGTTCCCACGCCGCATGTTGAGGAACCCGCGGCGTGCAGAAAATTTCCCAGGATGCATAGACGCTGCTGTCATTTTCATTTCCTCTCGTTGGCAGCCGCCAGACGTCTGGATGCCCCCTCGCGCACCTGGCTGCCTTGTTTCACATGCGACATGCGACAGGATGTGATTGGTGTCGGTGCTGCCAAGTACATCGAGGTGCGTGTGTATGTATGTATGTACCGTGTGTTGCAGCAGCCGCATAGCCACTGTCGCTCTACCCACGCGACCACACAGCCACGCAGTCCGTCGGCGTCCACAGCCTCCCCGCTAGAGCGTTAGGGTTTAGGGTTTAGGTAAACCCTAGAGCGCAGCCTCCCCGCTAGAGCCTCCCCGTCGGCGTCCACAGCCTCCCCGCTTCTTGACGTTTCACGACATGCATCAAAACAGTTGTTCCTGCGTAAACAGCCTGTGGAGGGCCTGAGCTGAGCTGTGAACCGAGTGCTAAAATAAGTTTGGCTGGGTAGGACAATATTTCGCTGGGTCATCCCCGTGCGACCGCGTCCCCCTGGCCTAGCCTCCCCCTTTTGGGCTCACTCTTTCATTTATAAATCCTCCTGTACCCCTCTGGCCCTCCGTTTTAATCTCTCCTCTCCATATAGCTATCTCTGTCCGCATGCACCTGTTCGTTTCTCCCCCGGCTCAAGAGTCCCGTTGTCCTTTTCTTTTCGGCCAACTCCCTCTCCAAGATTTCCATAGAATTGCTCATCAACTCATTACTCATCCCCACAAGTTCCCAAATCCTTTCTTTCAATTCGATTCCCATGCGGCGCAGCAAGTCGTGCGCATGGTGCCGTTCGTTAAGGAGCCCAAGTTGTCGAGGGCGCAGCAGGCGATGCCTAGAACGCAGAGTAGGATATGGGCTCTGGGGGGGCTTACTGGCTTTCACGAACCAAGGGCTAAGGGCAGGGCGGGGGATGGGCAGGGCAGGGCAGGGCAGGGCGGGGCAGAGCAGGGCAGGGCGGGGGATTAGTAGGATTAGCCAGAGCGAGGGGGAGAGGGAGCTTGGGCCTGGCGCGCGTCGGTCGGGGGCAGGGAGGTTACGGGAGCAGGGAGGGTGCGGGGGCAGGGAAGGTACGGGGGCAGGGAAGGTACGGGACACGGCAGTGAAGACCACGGCAACAGGGGATCCGAGGGTTAGTGCGGTTAAGGGGGAGTTGGCAACACCGCGACCCGGTGGTGGGGGGTTAAGATGAACCATTGGCGAATTTAGCATGTGGAAGGGGGGGGAGCGCAAGGGGGAGAAGTTTTAAGTGGGCGCCTGGGCAGGGGTGTAAGGTTTAGGACGCTCTTCGGGAGAGCAAAAGAAAAAAACGCCTCAAGGCCGACGAGGCCTCAGCGTGATAATGAAGTAGGTAAAAATGTTGTTGGCAGCGTCGACAAGGTAAATATCTACTGTCGTTGAGGATGGAGGGAGGGAGAAGCCGTTAACCTCCCAGGCTCTGGTTTGCAACAGGGCTTCGAGGGGAGTGTGGTGGGCCCTGCGAGTTGAGCGCCCTCGTACTTTGCGTCCTTTGCCTGCATCGGCAACCCATGGCCTTTCCTCTCCCTCTGCCAATGAGCTGTCCGCTGTCCGCCGAAAAATCCCCCGTGCTGCGCTGTGTAGAAGCCAAGCTCGCGGGCGCCATGGTGGGGGTGCTCATCGGCTGCACCCTAGGGCTCACACCGCTGTTCGTCTCTGGATCCTTCTTCACCGTGCGGTAGAGGCACCCATGTGGCTCACGTGTGGCCGTAACCCCTCCCTCCCCCGCACCTCTTCCAACTCCTTGACCGTTTCCCAACGCCACGACCGCGTCCACGTCCAAGGCCAAGGCCAAGTCCATGCGCGCGTACACCATCATGGCCGCTACTACCACTAAGACCATCAAGATAATTACGAGCCCTCTGCTAGGCCCCATACCCGAGATTCAACCAGCAGCAGCGACCTATACCTGACAGCTTATCCCATCGCCAGCCAGCCCCCTTCCACTTGTGTCTCTTATTGCGAATCCGAACCCACCCATGCACCCACCTTATGCCCACCTTGTATGAGGAGCGTGCACGCGGGAACTATCATCATCATCACCATCATCATTATCATTACGATTATGTTTATTATGATCAGCAGCAACAACAAATGAAGGAAGGAAAGGAGGACGAAAGGAAGGGAATAAGAAGGCTCCAATGCTTCAAGGATTCGCAGTCGGAAAACTAAGCGGGTTGCGGTTGAGTTGTTTTATGGGAAACGGCCTTTCCACTTGGCAACGTGGTAATGGTGGTGGTGGTGGTGATGGTGGTAATGGCGGATTTGGATTTGGGGGCCCTGGAAGTGCGTGTGGCGGGCCTGGGGCAACAGACAGACATACCGACAGGCGGACCTGCAGGCAGCATCAGAAGTTCTCCTGAGGCTGGAGGCTGGCAGGGATGGGACTGGGCAACCACGGCAGGGGCACTGTATACGGATTGCGAGGGATCCGAAAACGTGGGAGGCAAAGCGCGGTAATGTAGCATATAGCTGATATTCCTCATAGACGATAGCTCATATAGCCGATAAAGTCACTGATAGCGTTGTGCTCCTCCTGTTTCCATGGGCGAATGGCAATCGGGTAGTAACCTGCGGTGTGGAGGAAATAATAGTGGTGGTGGCTGTGGCTGGGCTGGATTTGGATGTTGTGGGAGACAGGGCCAAGGGGGGAGTGGGGGAGGAAGGGCGAAGGTGCACGAAGAGGCTATATGTCGGATCTTGGACCATATGGGGCTGTTGGGTTTATTTTTTGACGGCGTGGAAGGGCCAGGCGAGATTTGAGTCTCAGGCCAAGCTGTCCATAATGTGTGCTTGAGCCAGCGAAGCGTGTGAGGGAGTTTGCACAGCCGTGCAGTGCTTATCTTCGAACCGCGTATCCTGCAGGACATACCGTACGATAGTCGAGATTTGTAGAGACTTTAGGTTTTGCATGAATATGGATTCATGCATCTCGATCCATAGCCAGCAGAGAGAAGCGAGATAGGTCATGGGGGACTGGATTAGGTCTCAAGTCTTACACACACCCGTACGTACACCAAACGTGGGGGTGACGACTATGTGAAAAGACCCACCCACATAGCTGTGCCATTTATGGGCGCTGCTGTGAGACGATAGTTTGGCTGAAGCACTGAACGCGGTGAACGCTGCCGGTCTGGTGGACAGCCGCCAGCCCTTCGGAACCGCTGCGCTCTGTAAGGCTTCGGAACCGCCGCAGTGCAGGGAGGTATGCCCGTTAAGGGGGTATGCATGTACTCAAGTGCTGGGGGTATAGGGAGGGGGAAGCACATGCAACAGGCGGTGGTGCCGGCGTGTGTGGTGCACCTGCGGCTCGTGCGAGAGACCACCCGCTGCTGCTGCTGTTTTTGCTTGTAGTGGTGATTCTGTTGAAGGTGGGGCAGCTGATGCGCGCGACCTGTGACAGCAGAGCGGCAACGGCGGCGCGGTATAGTGCCGGGGCGGCGCTGTCCAAGTGATGACATCCCTGCCCCCCTCTACACGTGAGCTTTTTTGCGGCCAGTCCGCTCGCGACCAAAAGGGGTGTGTGCGTGTGTGTGTGTCGCTCTCCCCTGCTTAAAATGCAACCCCGGGGTGGTTGTGCCCTCCAAGAGTACCTTGCTTTTCGCACCGTGATGTGTGTTTGTGTGTGTGCTTTTGCACGTACGAGAAGGAAGTGCTGAGGACTGAACTCCAGCAGCAGCTTTACCGAAATTAGTAGTAGCCGTCAAGGCGCAAAGAGCACGGCAGGGTACGTGCATCCTTAGAAGCTGCATGGCCGTCTCCTGCAGACCTACCGTTACGCAACCTTTAGAGACAATTTTGACAAAAGCCAAGAGCACGAGGGCACTTGCCAGCCTGCCAAGTAGCAAGCTTTGGTCTTCTAGCCCACCCGCAAGTCTGTGAATGCCAATCCACCCAACAAGCAGCATACTGGTTGCCCACACAGCGGCAACGGAGTGTAATCAGATAAGCAAGTGGGAAAAGGGAAACTTAACGAGACTGAGAAAAACATTGAAGGAAAACATAAAGCTAAGAGGGCTACAAAAGGTTTAATCGCCATTCGGTCCATTCCGGGTCAATATGGCACCACAAACACAAACGTAAATTTTCCCAAAATGCTCCTTAACAAGATGTCCAAAACCGCAAGTTCTCCTCCTCCCCTCTTTCGAGCCGTCAACCCAGACTGCGTGGCTCCGCATGTATGTCTGTAGGGTTTTAGTCTGTCAAGCTTAGGGGCACCCCAATGAATAACTCCATGTGTGAGGTGTGGAAGGTGCTGCGGCTTCCGCGCGGCCCCGCTGGCCTTTCCTTTCCTCCCACCGCATCGACGTGTCGCCGCCTTAACCTCCGCCCCGCGCCGCTGCTGCCGCTGCCGCCGCCGCTCCGCCTCCTCCACCGCCGCCCATCGTAAACGCCGTACCGCAAGTGGAACACGCCCGCGACGGCTGACAGAATATTGACAGACATACAGAGCACACGTACCCCGTCTCAATCACGTACTTGTGGCAAAAACACGAGGCTCGAAAATCAACACCAAGCTCCTGGGCCACATCAAGTTGCTTCCGCGTCGAGGTGTCGCAAACGAAGTAGTTCAGAAGTAAACCTAGCAGCGCACCCGCACCGGCAGGCTTGAAGTACAGACCGCCTGTAAGGTGCGCTGCCTGCTGCAAGAAGCTGGAATCTTCGGTCGCGAGAACTACGGCATCTAGAAGGACCTCAGCACGCTGTGCGGAGAAGATGGCGTTCATGACCGGAATGTACTGCATGGGTGCGTCGGGGCTGGCCAGCACACACAGCACGCGGGGCCGGCCGCGGGGCCGGCCACCGCGCTGGTGCTGGAGGCGGTGGATAAGGCACAGGGCCCTGGAGAGGCCGCCGGAGAGGGCGAAGGAGGTGGAGGCCGACGATGCCGACGCGGCCGACGAGGCGCCAACGGCGCCGGCTGTAGGATGCGGTTGCGATTGCGATTGCGAGTGGGTGTCGGGACGAGGGTGGAGGTGTCAGGAAGAAGTGAAGTGACTGACGCAAGCGTGGAAGAGAGACTCGCGGGATGTAACGCTGCGAAGATGGCCAAAGCGCCCCAGTAGTTTTAGGGAACGAAATAGGGCGGAAATCTCTGAGGAGAAATACGTAAACACGTTGATGCATGAGGGAATGAAAAGCCAGCGCAAGCTGCAGAGCGCGTGAGGATGGACGTTTTTTTTCCTGGTTTGTTGTTTTCCGATGTGGGTCTGAGCCGCTGCAGGAGAAGTACGTGTGTGTTGTTTTCCGATGTAGGTTTTCTGACCCATAATCCCCCTGAGATCGTTAAGTGGGTTTTCGTCGTTTGACTGTAAGCCTGTGACCCAGCTCCAGCGTCAGTTGGGAGTCCCCGTGCAGTTCCCAGTGCCCGTGCCCGTGCCCGTGCCAGTGCCCGTGCCAGTGGTCCTCACCTGCGGTCTGCAGGTTGCAGGCGGCCACCAGCTCCGACAAGCGCGTGTGGAGGCTGGCTGCCGGGAAGATGGAGCCGGAGGTGTTGTTGGTGTCCTCGCCAAGTCCCAGGTGAACCAGATGACTGCGAGAGCAGGAGCGGCAGGAAGAGGAGGGGATTGAAAAAGGAGGAGTTGAAGGAGGAGGAGCAGGAGAAGGGGGAGGAGGAGCAGGGTGGGCCCGCTGTATGGCAGCATAACATTTGGCCTCCGGCTCGACACCTCGCGCGGCCAGTGCACGTGGCGCTGGAGTATTGGCGATGCAGAGTCGTTCGCGTATACTACAGTATTTTCATGACTTAGGTGTTGCAAGGTTACCCCGGTAAAGCACACCAGGGGGATTAAATAAAGCCACCTCGCCACGCTCGCTTACCACATGTCATGTTGACCGGCGAAGATTGCCAGCCGGTTACGGCTGTTCACCATGGTATAAGCGTTGGCGAAGGCAAGTAACTGGTGGGCATGAGATGTGCAATAAAAGTAGGCATGGCGGAGGGCCGCTTAGGCTGGCTACACAAGGCCGAACCGTGGCCATCGTGAATTGTCAAGGAGCTGCATGAATTATCACCTGCGCCAGTATGTCAGCGGGTGCGGCTGCTAAGGCCGCCAGTGCTGGATTGTCTGGACGCAGCAGCGCTAAGTCCAGCAGCACCACCATAAGGTCACCCTCAGCATCTGCGACACGCCAGCGCTCGTGACAGACTGCCATGCACGGCAACACAGGCCCGTAAACATTATATTTTTTAAATCACCTGCCATTTTTAGCGACCTAAAAGGTCATTAGCATCTATGTCGTGGGTTATTATCCGACATAGTTTCACGCCTTCCTGGTAGGCGGAAATCCGTTCTGGTTCCTGTTTGATCAATCTTCTGAAAAATATATTTTCAGCTTTTAAGATTAAGCTGATGCCAGCATCGAAAAGATCTAGCCGCCCTGTTTGCTATTGAGCGTACGATTACGGGAAGTGGTTGGGGGAAGGTCGATGTCTTTTATTCTTTCACATCATACTTTCACATTTCTATTATCATAGAGATTTCATACTCGTAAGGAATACGCCCACATGCCGTTAACTGCTACATGCATCGGGGCCCGTCAACGTCCCTTCATTCTGGGAGGCCCTCAGGCTCGTCGGACACTTCGCGCCGCCATGGCTTCGTCCTCACAGCCTGGCAGCTCACCGTCAAACAACATCCCCAAACCAATGCCTGCCATCGTGCAAGCCGGCACCCCGGTGTTGCGACAGGTGCTTCTAATACCGTTCCCAATGACCATTCATTTGACCCGGCTTAACAACAGGGAACGAAACATTCGTGCCACCAACTACCAACTGCCAACTACCAGGTTTTAACTCCTTGCCTCAATCAACAAAGCCATGCCGGACATTCCAACGAAGTGCAAACAAGTTAATGCCCAATTATAGGGCACCCCTTTCCATTTCCCCTTTCCCATCCCCATACCAATCCCACATAGCACTCGTCTTTGCCCATATACGCCCATCCGGTATCCCCACAACACCCATACACACCACAACACGCCCCATCCACAACACGCCCACCCTCGCTAAGCCCCGTCCCTGCCCGTCGTGCGTGTCCTCGTTCTCTCCTCCCTCCTCAAGGTAGCCCGGGAGGTACCTCCCGAGCTGCTGGGCAGTGAGTGGCTCCGGAACCTGGTCGCCACCATGACGTCTGTCATGCGGGCGGCACCCGGGGTCGGTTTGGCTGCCCCGCAGATCGGAGAGCCCTGGAGGGTGCGTTGGGGGGTTGGAGGGGGGTTGTAGGAGGAGGGGTGTAGGAGGGGTGTAGGAGGGGTGTAGGAGGGGGGGTGGAGGGGGGGTGTAGGAGGGGTGGAGGGGGGGTGTAGGAGGGGTGGAGGGGGGGTGTAGGAGGGGTGGAGGGGGGGTGGAGGGGGGGTGTAGGAGGGGTGTAGGAGGGGTATAGGAGGGGTATAGGAGGGGTGTAGGAGGGGTGTAGGAGGGGGGGTGAGCCTACTGGGAGGCGGGTAAGAGGGGATGGAGGGGGTGGGGAGGAGTGGGGTTTTAGGAGTAAGGAGTAAGGTTGCGGTATTGTCAGTTGGCGGTTGCGCTCATTCAAAACCTAAGAAGGCGGCACACGGACATATATACACACACAGACATATAGACACACACAGACATGTATACACACACAGACATCATCATCATCTTGGGCCTACAACCTCACTACTCCCGAGGCCCCAAGTACACACAGACATACACACTCATGTACACCTCTGTCGGTCAGGTCATCGTGCTAGAGGACCGGGAGGAATACATCGTACGACAGGCAGCGAGCGGGATGTACGACGACGACACGCTGGCAGCAATGGAGCGACGGGCGTTCGGGCCCCTGGTTCTGGTAAACCCGCGGGGCCTGCGACCCGTGGGTCATGAGGGCGCGGCGTTCTTTGAGGGCTGCCTCAGCGTCCGGGGGTATGTGGTGAGTAAAGGGTGAGGCGGGTGTGCATGTATGTATGTTTGTATGTGTTAGACCTGTTGTCCGTACATCTCCTATCTGTCTGCCGCCGCCATAAACCCGCTCCTGCCGGCTCCGCCACCTTACTGCGCCCCCGGCGCTGCCGCTACCGTCGCCGTCGTACGGCATGACCGCCGTCGCCGTCGTCATCGTCGCCTCCGCCGTTCAAGACCTTAGGCCGTTGTTCCCAGGTACCGCATTGTGGAGCTGGAAGCAGTTGACCCAGCGGGCCTGCCGGTGGTGGTGCGGGCCTCGGGCTGGATGGCAAGAATCTTGCAACACGAGTTCGACCACCTACAGGTACGGCATGACGACGATGGCGGCATCGATGCCGTACTATAGTTGTACATAAAATTTTCCAATGTCCCCGACCCCCGCGAGGCTTGATTCGGCGACGGAGGTTACCTTTCTTTCCTTGACTGACTCCTGGCTTGGATCCCCACCCCCCACCCCCCACCCCCCCATCGGGGTGTTACCCTCCCCCCCGCCCCCTCTTGTGTGTGGTGACCCCTGAAGGGTATCTTGTACGTGGACCGCATGGCGGCCACCTCGTTCGCGACCTCTGAGAACCTGGGCCAGTGGGTCAGGTAGGGGGGTAGGAGGGAAGGGTAGAGGGGCATTAAGGGGGGTGGGGGGGAAGGGGAGGGGGAGGGGTATAGCGGAGCCATGCAAACCATAAATTTATACATGCATATATGTGTATATGCATGTAACATTACATTACATTACATTACATATATGTATATATGTATATATGTATATATGTATATATATGTACATAATATGTACATGTATTGAGTATGTAAGAAGCCAAGGATGGGGTGGA